TTAATTACATCCTTGAAGCAATTGAAGAAAGTTTGCTGACCTCATCATCAAACGCCAGCGAAGTCAGTGCAAAGGTCAACATCTTACCAGCAGCTACATTTGTGGCCGACAGCTGGCAAAAAGTGAGCAGTGAGACAATTCAGAACTGTTTTTCTTACTGTGGCTTTAAGCACTTGGTTTTGGAGATGGCTGTGGACATGCTCATTGAAAGTGAAAATGATGATTTACATGTGGAACTTCAACAGGTATAAAGTTGTGAAGAATTTTTATCTATTGACAATGAGCTTCAATGATACGATGAAAATGAAGATTACGATGCTGAAATCATTGCTCAAGTTGCAGCAAAACACACAACAGCATCAGAAGACCAAGAAAGTGATGAGATGATGCCGCTAATAAGTTAGTGCAAGTGACAACACAGGATGCAAGAAAGTGGATTGAAACTTTGCATTGATATTTCATGCAGAATGAAGAAATTGTTTTAAATGAAGGCAATCCCATTGCTGCATTAGATGTTTGTGGCGATTTCATTCACATGCAATCTGTCAAGAGAACGCGTCTGATCGCATTGGATAAGTTCTTCAAATGTTGACTGGAACTTGTTAAGAAGTTGTTTTTATTGTGCTTCGGATGTTGAGTATTGTGGAGATTGTTTCTTAGAATTTGTTTCTAAATTAATTTTCTCAAATAAAAAAAGTTTGACTGTATTTCTTGTTTGTACATGTATGTTTGCCATACGTGTGTACCGCACCATAAAGGTCATAATTACATTTTAGTACATGATTTACATGTGTATTTACTGTTTGCTACATATAGCACGTTCCATCTTACAACATAGGATATGTTCGTGTAATCGGATCAGCCAGTTATTAGGACCAAAACGATCGCTACCCGATGTGGTCCGATTAACCAGAATCGACTGTACTACTATATATTTGCATTTCAGTACAGGTACTACTCCATTATCTATAGTCTGAATGATGGGTGTGAAATTTGGAGGAAAGAATAATACAAATGCATTATCTTTCACTAAAAGTGAAGTATGAGCCGCGCTGTTGACTACCATCAGGTAAATCAACCGAATTCAAATGTTGCTGAGGTTTGGGTATGAAATTATTTTCAAACCAATCATTCATTAATGCTTATATCATCCATGCTCTTTTACTTGCACGATATATAATGGGAAAATCTTTACTCCTTTAAATGCTCGAGGTTATGTATTTTTTACCACTTGGCGCTCCAGCATTGAGCATTCATCTGCAAACAGTTCAGCAGTTTCAGTATCAGCTTTCATGAGATTGGTGACAAAAGACATATTGTTCCGCTAAATTTTATCTTGCTTCTATCGCACACTGAAACAATTAAGCTTGAATTTTATTATTTTAGTTAATTATTATACTTAAGTCTACTTCTTGCACATGCTTAGGCTTACCTGAGTCCTGAATAAATAAATTCCCCACATATACTTAAAGCTTATCAAGGGTCGGCACTAGATATTGTACTGCCTGTTGTTGTCTCTACTGGTCCTAAATTCTGCTACCATGTGCCTTCCCAAGTTCTAAAATTTTGGTTCTAAATTCTGGGTCCAGTGCTTTCCCTAAATTCAAAAAATTTTGTCATTCTTTAATTGTGTTGCTCGGTGCTTCTCTAAATTCCAAACATTTTGTCTAAATTATGCCGCCCAGTGTGGCCATATGAGCTCTGGCACTGGTCCTGGGTTTATGGGGATAACAAATCATTATTCTTAATTCAAATAGTACTGTAATCTTTTAGCCACGGAATATCATCTATTCTTAACATATGGAAGGAAATTTTTGTTAAAATTTTTCCTCGTCAATATTTTTTAGTACATTTAACTTAAATCTGTACTAATCGCCAAGCATAATGTCAACATAAAAAGTTACTGTCTTTGTTATACTAATAAAAACATTGTTTAGGCATCGCTACATGAGTCACTACTCAAGTTGTCTAAGCGTGTGGTGATGAAAGCAAAATATAATAAATAATTTGTCAGGTTGGCGTCAGGGTTATAAAATCAACGATGTTTCTATGTAGGAATGTTTCGTTTTGAGATTATGCTGAGCAGCTACGGAGTCAAATTATTGATCATGCAAATTTATGCTGAAATGATTGTTTCTTCAGTAATGAGGTATTTTATTTATTGCCGAAGTGAAATTAAGAATCGGGTCTCTGGGCATGCTTTATTATGGGGGGGGGAGTCGCATGCGTGAAACATACAAAACAAAAAATCCTCAAAGAAAAAAAAAGATTTTTGGTGGCTTTGAGTTCCGGATTTTAGATCATTCTGGATCTTGGACTTTGTGCTATATAGCCAGTTATCAATTATCAATCATTTGTACTGTATAACCGATTATTTGTACTGCATAACCAAATACCATTTGTGCAAACAATTCGCTTTGGCATGTTTACTCATATTTTGTCAAACATTTTTTGGCATTTGAAAGAAAGAGACTTGCTTTAGAATACTATATTGTGAAATTTGTAAATAAAATATCATTATCATTAAACACAAGGTGTCTGAGATGGAATTTTCATGCTACCAGATTAGAACCATAATTTACTTCCTGTTCTGTTGCCAAAAGAAACTTTCGGTACTAATGTTGACGCTGTGAAGGTTTGGCACTGAAAGTTGAAAAACAAGGAATGTTGCATTCAAGAAGCAGAACACTCTGGCCAGCATACTGATTTTGATGAGGCCCGCTTGTGAGAATTTGTGGGAAAAAAATCAGTATGTAACCACTCGAGAGCTTGCTAAGGAGTTAAACATTAGTGTGATGTCCATTAGTTGTGCTATTCATCGCATAAACTTCACACACAAGTTCAGTTACTGGATGCCGCAAGAGCTGACTCAAACAGATATGGAGAGGCCTGTTTGGGCCTGCACTAATCTGCTCGAATATCAATACAAGGACAAAATTCCGGACCAGATCATCACTTGTGATTAAAAGTGGACTTACTTCAACACAGGCTGATAATAAATTGATGCAAAAGGGGGTTGGTCTGTGCTCGTTGAGCCTGTCGGCAGCATCGCAAAGTATCTGTAAATAGATAAAACCCTTGACAGTAAGGTATACAGTGAGATGGTAGTCCGTGTTGACACTGCTATCAAGGAAAAATGTCTAACTAAGTTTTGGTACAAAAAGGTAATGTTCCTTCAAGACTATGCAAGACCACATGTGTCTGCATTCGCTGGCTGGACTCTGTACGGACTCGAATGGGATCTTTTGCCAAACCCACCACATAGCCCCGTCGTCGCTCCTTCAAACTTCAACCTTTTTTCACACCTGCAGCTACATCTTCCATTTTGCACAGGATGTCTGAAGTGGGGTTGATATGGTTTTGGACTTGCGGCCACCAAGTTTCTGGGGCGAAAGCTTTGGAAAAAATATACCAAAATGTTGGCAGAAAATCGGAGATTTGGGTGGTGATTACTACCCACACTATAGGTACTTGCTTTCATGTTTTTTTTTTTTTTCCCCTAACTTTATTAAGAATGTGTTTTGGCAGAATACTTTCATTACAACCAGATATAATTCAACAGAACTAATTTACAATTATGTAAGCAATTTAGTTATTAGCATTTATCCTTAGACAGTGAGCCATCATGCACTGGATAATTAAATTAACTAACTAGTCACTTGCAAAAACAGTAATGATGAGAATTAAAAATTTACTTATTCATTATTTTTTTTTATTCTCATCATCATCGTATATGTGCATATAAATTATTGTTTTTTTAACCAGCTTATACTGTTCAAATCAGTTATTTTATGTTTTTAGAAGTTTAAGAGACAGAAAAAAGGGATATAAAAATAAATAAATCTTAAGGGAAAAAAAGTAAATAAGAAGGCAGATTTTTTTTTTTATTTCTGGCAGGTATTATGTGGCAATCACATCAATTTGTTATTCCCACAACTTGTTTCTGCTTCTGTATGATCTTTTTTTTTAATAAGAAGGTCGGTGCTTTCTCTTAAACTAATTCCCAGTTCTTATCGTAGCACTTTGTTGACTCTAGTTTTCCATCATATGTCTTCTATCAGTTTCACTGCATGAAAATTGAAACAATTTTTTTTAGCAAAATATTATAAGCCTGGAAATAATAGATTGCTTCTGCTTCATTTCTTAGCAAATGTAGTCAATGCATGATGCAAAATGTAGTGAAAATTAATTGAGACAAATTAACTTTGTGCTAAAATTTTTCTGTAGGGTTACAAAAAAAAAATGACACTATGGAGACATGTGCTTGCTGTAAATAATTTGAAATTGCTATTGAAATTTTTAAAAAAATGCTGAGCCTCTCTTAGCCAAACAAGAAAAACAGATGGAAGCATTAATAAGAAAGAAAGTAAGAAATCGTATCTTTCTAGAAGAATCCTTAACAGCATATAGGTTCCTGCAATGCTCACTAGAATCAAATTCAGGAATAGTCCTTTTGGTGACGTACCAGCTAATAAAAAAATACTTAAAATTATAATAATGGTTACTGGGTTTTTTTTTTTTTTTTTTTTTTTTCATTATATTTATTGAAATGAAAACTTGGAAAAATTTCATTTTTTTCCCTTGAAAACATGGGACATAGAAGTATGATTTAATAATTAATAAATTAGCATTAAATATGTATTAAATTTATCTGTTACTGAATGAAGCCCTGAAGAATACAGACTAAATTTTCTTTTAAATAATTAAATGCCAAAAATAACTGTATTTATGCCTTAAATTATTATGGAAAAAAAATATTTGGTACTATGTGTTACTTATATGTTATTGGGACTGGATTCAGAGATGTATGTATGTGTGCATACATGCATCGTATGAACATATATGCATACACACATTCATACATTTCTGAATCTGATCCTGATAACAGAAGACTACCAAATATTTTCTTTCCTTTATTATAGTTTCTCCTCCTGCTTGTTGGTTTGATTATTTTAATGTTAAAACTCCTGTTATTTAAAACATCTTTTCCCCCTTAATAGAGGTGATCCATTATCCAACATGAATGTTCAGTTTTCAAGCAAGGAAGAAGCAATAGCATTTTGTGAAAAAAATGGTACTATTTTTAAATTGTATTCATTATTTTTATATTTTGTTGAGAGAATTGCATAAATTAGTTGCATTATTAATAATAGCTGTTAATTATAAAATATTTAATAGGTAATGAATTTATTGCTATTTATTATAATTAGTATGAATGTTTATACACTTAATTCATAACGTCATTTATTATTCAATGACATCTTCAGAACTGCAATACAGAATAATATACTAAAATTGGTGTTTTCCTCTCAATAAATTTGGACCTTTCTGAAAATTTTCATTTCCTTACTTTATTCCTCTCTCGTTTATTAAATGACTGCATATCATTTTACAGTTTAAAATCAGAAAAATTTCATAATTACTGTTTCATTTTATTCCTAGTTTACACTGTATTTTATAGTATATTATTTTACCACATATATATTAAATAGATGGAAAGACCCTGTGATATTTTTAACATGAGGTTGTAAAATGAAACATCTTCAAGATGTAAGCGAAAAAAATTAGTAACTTTCAAGACGATATCAGAACTTTTCAAAATATGTTATGCAATCTCATAATTTAAATTTATTCTTTAAATGAAGTGTCCACCAGTGGTTTTTCTCATATTATTAGTGTGAATAGGAGCATTTTCTTAATAATTCTACAAGAAAGCTCCCTGACAAATAGCTTTCAAATGCTTTGCCATACAACCAGCTCTTTACATGAAATTTAAATTAAGACATATTTCTTGTTTTTCAACTATTATAGCAATTATAATATTTAGAAAGCTCTTCACATTCTTTTTGCTTCCTTTGTTTTGCAAAGTGTAGATATTAATTTTGAATTTTGATTTCCAGGTTGGCCTTACTATATAGAAGAACCAGCTCCAGTTAAACCTAAAACAAAGAGTTATGGTGCCAATTTTGCTTGGGATAAAAGAACCAGAGTTTCTACAAAATAAATTTTATATATAAATACTGTAGTTCACCAATTATGAACTGTAGTACTCTCCATTTTGTCTGATGTATGTACCTATGCAAGACTCTTTATTGTATCATAGAAATGTTCCAAAATTTATCCAATAAATCAGTTTTAAAAAAAGCTTTTCAAAATTATAGAACTTAAAAATTATAACAAAGTGCAGAAGTCAAAATATATCACAGATCGCATTCTGACATTTAAAAATATGCTTTTTAAATAATTATTTAGACATTCCTTTATATATATTGCTATTCAAAATATGCTTCAAGATAATTATTTAGTGTGGAACATTTTCTTTTTTATACATATTTCATGTTAATTAAGTATTCAGTAATAAATAATTGGCACATGCAAATTAAAACTGATTTTTACTGCTTTAGCATTTTTGTTTGTTAAGTAATTACAAGGTGAGAGCAAAAAAGCTGATATAGAGGGTCCTGTTTTTTTAATGGCTGATGTCAAATCTTGTAATACAGGATCAGAATTGTACGCATTTCTTACAGAACTAATATTGCGACTGGCAGCATTACTGTCAGTACTTTTGTAGCATTTAGCCTTTAATTTACCACATTATAATTCACATTATTTTATACTGCAATAAGTTATAAAAATTTCATTAATTCAATGTGTTTTGGGGGGGGGAGTAACAAGATTCAAAACAGTCTGATCCTTAAATTAAAAACTGACTGCTTTAGTGTTTCTGTAAATAAAAGCCTTAATAAATACATAACAAGAAATCTTAGAATAAAAGAAAAATAATATTTATGATAATTTTAAAAAATGTTCAAAATATCAAGCTGCATAAATATTTTACTTTTATAGTTAAAAGGAATAACAATTGTAAAAAATTTAAGTTTTAAACAATAATTATGATGTTATGAACAAATAAAACAATAAATTATATACAGCAGATTCAGAAACTTAAAAGGAAAGATATATAACAACACCTGAATTTCAGCTAGTGATTATCAGCATCATCTGTTGAATGAAAGAATAAAGAAGGAAACTACCAAACAAAAAATTCATTGTAAATCGTGTTCAACTTATGTGTATAAAACATTAAAAAAAAAATAAAGTTATATGCAGCAAAACTAAATTTTCAAAGAATAGCTAATAGTACATAGATTGAAAGAAATAACGAATATAAAAATTGAGACATTTTCCTAAAAATTACATGATTATTAGCTGAGCAGCTTAAACTAAGAAATGCTGGTAGTTCACCCAAGTTATACTCTTGGTAGTCAAATAAATAAGCTGCATGAGGTATTTCTTAGGAATAACATAAATACAAATTAGTTCCCTTTAAGTCCTCCATGAAGACAGTCCTAATTTGTTTCACTATAATCGATATAATGCAATGCAATATTTTTATAAAGTTTTTATGTATGAAAAGCACTTCATATTTTTAATGTGATTGTAATTTAATCTAATAATTTTAATAAGTAATCCAAGATATTAAATTAAAAACTGCATAAAATGGTTTTTCTTACTTGTTTAGTAATCAATTTACATGGCTTTCCAAAAGTTATATATGTAGAAAAAATTCAGTGTAGCTAAAAAATCTGTATTGATTGACTTCAAAACCTCACTAGAAGGTAATTGATTTATTTATTCTTGACTAAACATTTGAACTTTTAAATTGTACTAAACATGCAGATTCCTCCTCCCTCCCCAATAAATGTAAGAAAATGTTTAGGGGATTGAGAGCAATTTGAAATGTTTGTAGACAAATTAGGCTGTCTGCAAATATAGAAAAAACTTAGTTATTTGTATCATGAGTACATAAATTATATGTAGATATTAGTCTCTCTTATTCTTGACTAGCTGCCTGCTCAGCTAGCCATGTTAAATAATAATTATAAAAAAAAAAAGGGGGAAATGTGATGATTTTAAGGAGTCAAATTAATATAATTTCATTAAAATATTTAATAATTTTGATCATTAACAAAAGTACTGCATGTTTAATCACACTAATTTAATTAATTGTTCCAGTCCAACAACATCTAAACTTAAATCAGAGTTGCCACGCTACGTGGAAAAGTCAGAGAATCTGAAAATTGACCAAAGTTAAGGAATTTTAATATTTTAGTCAAAATCTGGAAAAGTCGAGGAATTTCATACTGCAATACCCAAAAAAAGCAATTTTCACACCAACGTTGTAAGCGATCACTTTCTTGGTGAAACATGTATCGCGTGAGCGTCATTCAGACAGCTGCCGTAGAGCCAATTTTCGCAGCGCCAATCAGATTGCCTTTTAGACACGCAAACGAAGTTTTCAATAATCTAGAGGATTCGGATGCGCATATGCAGTACATGTTGAAAGAAAGTAAATTCCCCTCTTCTTTCTTGTATAAAACAAAATCTTTTAAACCTTTTCTTTTTAAATTATTTGTCATTTTACAGAAATATAAAAAAATAACAACTGGTCGTCTAAGCTAACCATTTAATATATTATTAAAATACCATGGATTTTTGTAATTCAATTTTTAATCCTTAAGTAATTAACTATGTTTTAATGTTATTCATATCATGGAGTGTGTCTTCTTCCTTCTAAATTTATTTATTATTAGTTACTAATACTATTAAATTTCAGGCAGTTTTCTCTGGCATATTTGTGAAGCTAATTCTAGCAGTAATATGACATACAATCACAACATTTAGTGCACATATCTGTTCCCATATGCTATTAGATAAATATAAAATAGTTGAATTTATTTTAAAATATCATTAAATAGATATTTTTCTTACTTTAGCTGCAAAATGTCTGCAGAAAAGGCATTTTTAAATCCCAGTTGGACGCATTCTAATCTGAATCCTCAGTGGAGAAAATAACTCCTATTATAGTTATGAAAGTAATGATTTGGGGAATTTATATATATATATGTATATATATAAAGAAAGAAATTTAGAACTAATTTTTCACAAAGATCAAAAACTGGAATTCATAAACAATAAATTTAAAAAAAATCCTATAAATGTACAAGAATTAACAAAGGTTAAAACTAAAATTCTTCAAATAAGTAAAACCCAAATTCAAAAAATTAAAAGAATAAAAATGACAGAAGAGGAATTCAATCAATTTCAGAGCCACGTCATTAGGAGGAGGAAACATTGAAACCAATTAAAATCTCTCTTCCATAATAAATCCCTGCTTTTCTGTATCCAGAATTAGCTGGTAAACCATTCCAATGCATTTTAATTATAATAGTTCAACCGAAAATTCTGGCTCCTCCCCAAAGTGAAAGAAAATGGAAAAAAAAACAAAGTAAAAACATTAAAAATATCTTCCAATTTAAAAAGATTTTTCTAATCTAAAAAGAATCTCAAATATGAAAGGAAACTTTCATATTTGAGATTCTTTTGAAGAAAAATCTAAATTCTACGGTAAATTACTACATTTTAGTTTTAACATTTGTTAAATTCTTCTTTTGTACATTTATAGGATGTTCTGAAATTTATTGCTTATGAATTTCAATTTTTGGTCTTCGTGAGAAATTGGTTCTAAATTTCTTTCTTCACATATTTACTGATCAATTTCCAGTGGCACAATGCACAAAAGTTCTTGGAAGGATTATAAATTTTTCGTGTAAAAATTATTAGTATTTCTGTAAATAAACATATATATATATATAAGGTGTGCACAGAAAAAACGAGACTGGTCCAATAAATTATTGTACTTAGAGAATCAGTTATCTGTGACATTATCACCTTCAAAGTAGTTCCCTTCAGCTTTCACACACTTCTGCATTCCGTGCTGCCATTGCTGGTAACAGTTCTGGAAAGAGGTTTTTGGAAGGCCTTTCAGGAGATTTTCCGTTTTTGCCTGAACTTCTTCAGCTGAGATAAAATGGGTTCCCTTTAAGTAAGATTTAACTCTAGGAAATTTTAAAAAGTTGCACAGAGCCAAATCAGGTGAATAAGGAGACTGCCCCATCACAGTAATGTTTTTGCTAGTGAAAAGCTGCTTGACAGATAGGGCCTTGTGAGCAGGTGCATTGTCCTGGTACAACAGCTATCCATCAGTGGCCTTTTTTTTCCCCTAATTTTTTCACAGTCTTTTAGTACTTCAATGTAGTAGTGTTGATTAACAGTCTGACCACTGGAAACCCATTCAATCATGATGAACGTGCTGTGCGCCCATCATCTTCCACACTGTCCCTTACCCCTAAAAACCATGTATGCCATTCAAACACATGTGCATGAAACAAAGTTCCATTTCTATAAGCCTCCGTGACTGATTTCCTAAGTTTCACAATAAACTTGATGTTCATTCGCTGTTGGGTTTTCACATTAGGCATTTTCCCAGCAGAATGCAGCTGCATGTATTCACTCAGACACAAGTATTCCCCAATGGCTTGGTCGGTTAAGTTAAAACCAAGGTGTGGAAAGAGGAGGTGTGTGGCATGATGTCAGTCACCAAAACAGTTGTTGCCAACTCCACTCTGTTTTCAAGCTACACAGTCTCATTTTTTTTGTGTGTGTCTCACCTCATATATAAAGTCATATGTAATAGGCAAATTTTTGTGTTTTCAAGTGGTACCATAATTAATTTACCCACAGCACAGCCAATATGCACACAACGTAGATAGCCTGGAATTTCCTTGAAACACACCTGGAAAATTCAGAGAATTTTATTCTCCTGTGTGAATGGCAACCTTGTTAAATGTAAAAGAAATTATATAATGCGTTGTGGTGAATATTGCTGTTCTACTGTACAATTTCTCTAATACGGCTTATTGCGAAAGGTCGATCTAATTCTAAATGAAGCTAAATACTTCAACAATCTACAAAAATAATCATTTTATTTGCAAAGCAACCTGGATTGCATCGATGGTTATACATAGCATATACTACTGCCTACGTCGCAAACTGAAAAACTAACATTCTTTCTCAGAAGCGAAGCGCCCTTTGACGGCGATACATAAATCATTTGGGGGTTTTTTTCCACACGACTTCTAATTAATTACCTTTCAAAAAGGCCTGATATGCAGAAAAATAGTTTAAAGCACTTTATTTTCAATGCACCATAGCATCTTATTGCTTAATAATTAAATACAGAATAATGATATACGGATCAATCTTCAGACCTCTACTATAGTTTTATTTTTGATATGTTTTTCTATATTTAGCATATAAAGGGCAGTATTGATAGGGGACACAAAGGTTATTCTGTAGCAATTATAATATACATTATTTTGGTAGTAAATCTCTTTTTCTTTTGTCCATGCAATGAAACCTGTTGAATCTTTCTCTCAAATCAAGAAAGGTGTTTGAAGCAATATCACAAGATATGGGATAGACTCAACAGATTGAATATTATGAATACAGAAGAATCTCTATGAATTATTTGCATGTCCTATTAGGCAAGAGAATTTTATCTAGTCTTCGGCTTATAATATAAGACCTCGAAGAAGGATTTTTTTTTTTTTTTTTTTTTTTTTTTTATTTTAATGTAAAAGAGTATTTAAAAAAGATTCTATATCAATTACATATCATATGACATATTTTATGTAACTTTAACCACCTAAAAAGTCTATACAAATTAATCATTAGATTTGTCATGAATGAAATGCATTTTCATTTAAATGAGATTAAAAAGCTAAAAAATATTTTTAAATTCATTATATTGCTTTTAAATCAATTAATTTAATGATCAGTAACAGGCAGATTAAATTTAGAAGTTCAATATCCTTGAATGGCAATGTACTGCTTCTAAACAGAGCTTCTTTTTTATTAAATATGTTACATTTTGCAAAATGGGAACACATTCCTTTTAAAATGCTGAATTGTTAATCATAAATTAATTACTATCACACAAAATATGAAAGAACTAAAATAAAGATATTAAAAATTCAGGTTTTGAGGTGCACATTTCTGGGCAAAGGAATATGCTTGTTCCAAATTTGGTGCCATTAGTTTTTCATAATGCAAACAGCATACATACACAACACAGATTATTATAAAATAATCTTGAAATTTATTATAAAATTTAAAATTACCAACACAAAAATACTTGCACACTTTACTCAGTATCATTGGCAGTGAATGAAAGGTAACAGATGCAATGATAAATCAAAAGTGAATTGTAATACATATTGTGCTAATGAAATAACCCTGCAAGCCATTTTCGAGTGCTAAGATTGAGGTAAATTAGTTGTGTAAGTATATGCTTAAAATTCTTTGTATGATACTGTTCATCCTTGAAACATTTCATCAGTTTAGTAAACTAATTGCAGTAAAGCAGTTTTCCACAGTTCTCGATTAGTTTTAATTGTTTACTGTACTGTTTCTAAAATTAAATAACACAGTAATTAATGTATGATGTGAATCTAGTTATGCTAGCATTTCTCCTGAGAAGCACAGAAAAGTCAAGCCATGTCATTTGATGAAATAGCTAAATTGCTTGATAGTATATGATTGAAGCTAAATTGCTTGATAGTATATGATTGAAGCTAAATTGCTTGATAGATTTTTCAGATATTTCAGTCATTACCAAATTTTTCATTTTCGATGTCAAATGTTAATATGTAACATCTACAGAATTTTGTATTTTATAAAGCAATATTTATGTAGATGTTATAGACAGTTTATCATGTGAAGTGACAAATTAATGCTATGAATGAACTATACCAAAATTATGTTCTTTAAAAATCCTTAAAGGTCCTTAATTACAATCAGAATTTGCAAAAGGTTCTTAATTTTGATCATCTGACATTTATGCTCCTTTTCTACGACTCTATCCTAAACATGAATTAACATTTTTGATGAATTCTTTAGAATAAACATATTATCAATATATAAATTAGCAACTGGGAATTCAAACCACCATGTGACTCACGAGTAAGCAACCACAAACTGATGTAGATGATAAAAATACCAATCACCACTCCTTGAACTGAAGTTTTGACATGTCTGACTGGTTGTTCATCCAGCCTTTCAAACAAGAATACTGTCTGTCTCCAATGAAAGAAATAATTTCTTGGACTCTGATCTGCATAAGTGTGACATTCAGGGACATCAAAATGTGGACTTCATAAAGGTCATGCTTCCTTCTATTGTTAACAGTGAATCCAAAAATTCTTCAAGGTTATGAACAAAAGACACAAATAGGATTCTGGAAAATAAAGAGGATATTCTGAAAATATTGACTAGTATTAAAAGAATTTAAATCTGGAGGGCCACATATTTACACACATACCGGTAAACACATGAAAGGTGGATTAAAAGTGTTTAATCTCAAAAGTATTTTCATCTGTCAATGCTTTGTTGGCCAGTCGATGGCCTCCCACAGTGGATATCTTGACTAAGGTTATTGTATTTAGAGTTCAACTGCTCCATTTTAATGTTCCCTAAGGGTAATTTCTTTGGAGAAAAATCAGTCAGTTATATGAAAGGGAGGAAGAGGAAGCTGTTGAAGCAATTTTTCTCTCTAGCTGTTCTCCTTTGGATAGCAAGAGCAAGATTTATAGACCCATGCTTAATGGTTAAAAATCTAGAAAACGGCCTGTGATAAAATAAAAAATGTTATACATGTTTTATAAAAAGATTATAATAAATAATTATTATATATATCTTTGAGCGTAAATGTCTGTACATTACTACACGCTAAAAATAAGAAATTTCTTAATAATTATACAGTCATAAATGATTATTATAGTTGCTTAGTTAATTATACTATTAAAATAAATAATCATTCCATTTCTTTCTGATTTTGTGTTAAAATCTATATGCTTTATTACTCATACTTGAAATAAATATCACTGCCTGTAGTTTCAAACACATGTATCACAAAATATGTGTAGAAAACATAAATGTAATTAATAACAATAAGAATACATGTTATGAAAACTTTTACATTTCTTATAAATATTTCCTAATTTACATATATATCTGTGTATAAAATTTTGCCATTTGCTTGGACGATAGTAAATGGAAGTTTACAAAATGCTAACAACTATTTTTTCCAGCGGCATACAAAATTTCTGCATTTAGCGAAAAGTCAAAATATACATTAGATAATTTATCATGAAAAATTTTGAGAAATTTCACATTTTAAAAAACATCAGAATTAAAAGAAAGAATACTCTTCTTTGCTTTACAATATAACCAAGCATCATTTAAAAGTAGGGCTTAATACTTTAACTTCATATTACTTAAAATAAGCACAATACAAATTACAACTAATTTACATTTTACATGACTAGTAATACAGTTCCCAAATGCAAGAAAAAACAATTAAGGTTCCATTTGTTTTACTACTTATCTAGTGCTCAGTTTATCACTATGATATTTATCCAGGATGTCAACAAAAATTTCCTTCATAGCTGTCCATTGGTATTTTCTTAAAATCTCATGATGTGTATGGAAAATTTCCCATTAATTTTTATTTCTTCCAAGTGCTACAATTAAATACATCTAACAAGTCAAATAATAAAGTTCTTACATTTCTATACAATAATTTTCATTTTTAAGAATCAAACAAAACTTGATTTCATTTATAAAGGTTAGGCTATATCAAAATTTGTTTTTATGAATTACCCATATAAGTCTAACAAAACTTGATTTCATTTATAAAGGTTAGGTATATCAAAATTTGTCTTTATGAATTAACCATACAAGTCATTACATATGGATTTCTCTATCATAAAATTGTCTAAATTTATTAAATACAGCTCTACAATGTCACAAAAAAAATTGTCTGTTTAAATCCAGAAACAGTGATGTAGTGCTTAGCATATATGATCTAAATGTTAATAAAATATAGATTTAGTGCATTTCTGTGTATGAAAAGGCAGCAGAATGATTCTATCAAGTTACAAAATATGTTCAGTTAAAGAATAATCAAATACTTTCTGTGGAATGCAGAAGCATGTCTTTTTGGATGGGGGGCATAAGACTATGATGACTTAGAATAAAAAAAAAATTCCAAGCAAAAATAATAAACAGCAGTAAATTTTTAAAAATATTAACACTTGTAATATTTAACACTTGTAATCAACAAAAATATTTATGCACCATAGTTAGCATATATCTGCAATGCAAAATTCTCACTCATGTTTCAAAGGACTTGGTTTAATAGAAAATACATAAGAACAGGTTTTTAAATTTTTATATCCATAAGCATATTTTAACAAAACATAGCATAAAACAAATTAATGCATTTGTGACATAACATTTAATGAAATGCTTATGTATTATGATGAGAAATGTAACAATAAAATCATCCTGACACTTGATTTTAAAATAAAATCACATGCACAAATTAACTTTCAATAAAAATGTCCACTTAAAAAATTAATTTTAAAACTAACATAAGTTAAATTATTAGTCATCTTCATATTGCATATTTTTTTCATCTTCCTTCTTCCTTTCTTCATGTTTTTCAAAGGCTTGTGGAAGATGCTGTCTCATTGAAACATAAGATACCGGCTTTTCAGAGCACAATGTTTCAGGAATTTCAATATTCAGTAACTCTGGTACCATATATGCTTTTAGCCAACCAACTAAAGGTGTTGTCCCTGGAGTATAATGTGTTCTTTTATGGTAGAATAAAAGGCCATCCAACTAAAAACAAAATGAAACTAAATATAAAATTTAACAACAAAATTTAAATTGATAAACATATTTTTATGAGTTAAAATTGTGTAATTTTAATACTAATGTACTATATTATATTCATCTATAAATCAATACAATACACAGTAATGCACAAATACAATTAACATTAAACATTACAACAGAAAAATAATTTCTTTCAAGCTAAAATTCATTTAACAGTAAACATTTTTTTACTACCACATCTTAAAAAAAGGAAAAAAAATGCATATTATAATCTTGATATTTTTACCAAATGATGAAAATGAATTTACATTTTTAATTTTCTCTAAACTGGGGAACACGCGCATAAAAATACACATGTATAATTTCCTCATACATTATGCCAAATCTAAACTTTTATTCAAGCATAATTTTTTTTTCTTTATGCCTGTGATATTCTTTCCAATAATGAAATTAGTCTTTGAAGCTCAAACACATTTACTACAAATTATATAATTATTTTAAATACATAAATTAATTTTATTTCCGTTTTGCCGGCGCAGGTGATCAAGTTGCCAATAATGGTACAACTGATGCCAAACAGAATATCCTTGATGGTAACTTTTTACGCCCCATTTTCAAAACAAGTCGCAGCCATTTCTTATCAGATTGATTGTTTCTTTCAATATTGGCATACAATTACATATAATTTTTACCAGATAGTTCAATTTTATGCCCTAAGGCCATCACTGTACGGGTTAAGTCTATTAGGATGCAATCACACCACTCATCCGAAGAGGAAAATACAGAAAAGGCAAAGTCAAGGGTTAAATTCATCAATTCTAATGAGAATGCACTAACGAAGTAAAGCAAATGCGGTTTTACATGATTTCTGAGTAAGCCATTCGTACGAATTGAAATAATTCTTGCATTTACGTGAAATGAGATTACTTGGGGTCACGTGATATGGACCGGCGAATCAGGATGTTACATAGCCGTGAAAGCATAGTAAATTCTTAAATTAACGTCTTTTTACAAATTTATTGTCTTTATTTACTGTTTTTTTACAAAATTTTATATGATACAAAAATGTTTAAGTTTTCAAAATAAAAAAAAATCTTAGAACTAACATTTGTTAACATTTTTTATGAGTATACTGTATGTTGTCGCCAATAAAGTCTGCTTGGCGAAATGGAAAAGTACCTTTATTTCAAATATAAATTTGAAATTCCAGATTTGATTTAAAAAAAGTTTTAAATTCAATCTTATTATACAATTTTTATTAGCAAATTGCATAACTGATATAAAAATCTTCTATAAATTTTGATTCATTACTTAATTATATATTAATAATTTTTTAAAATTTGAAATTCCAGATTTGATTTAAAAAAAGTTTTAAATTCAATCTTATTATACAATTTTTATTAGCAAATTGCATAACTGATATAAAAATCTTCTATAAATTTTGATTCATTACTTAATTATATATTAATAATTTTTTAATCTCTTGTTACATGGAAAAAAATTCATGAGATCCTACACTAAAGATTTTAAAAATTTATATATCTGACTGAAAAATAAACCTAGCGCTGAGGTATATTATATTACAAATGTTTTATCAGATTGCAATTATTATCAAACAAGAAATTAAGAGGAATTTAATGTATTGAATTCACCTTGTCCTAATTTGTTACCTTAATAGCAAAATAATTAATTTCATGAATTTTAACATGAGAAAGTGTATGCACAATTTTTATATTTATTGTACTACTATTATTATTTAAATAGCTTTGCACAGAAAGTTAGTTAAAAATTATTCTCTTTTAGAAGTCAATATAACAAATGACAAATAGCGAAGATATAAATTGAAACAAGGAATGAAAGTTACATACCTTACATGAAAATGGTAAAGGAGACCATAGGAAATTCTTAATAGAATCAGTATCACATTTGACAAATGGCAGAGGTATAAATTTATACTAAGAAGAAATACAAAAAATAAAAATATTTATTATTTACACAAATACAACTGTAAAATAAAAATTGTTACTATGCAATAAGTTATAAAAATGATTTTAAAAACTGTTTTGATGAACAGAATAATAAAAATGAAATTTAGCTACATAGTTTTTATAACAAAGTATAAAATTTAAGTTATCTCTAAATTAATTATTAGTTTGAAAAGACTTGAATTAAGGATTAAAAAAATGACACCTTTTTTGAAAGAGAAACAAATGGTAAAGAAACCAATATGAGAGAAAAGATAATCAAGCAGCCATTTATAAGTATACTGTTAAAAGCAAGAAAATGGTCCAAAAATTAGAAATGCATAATTTAGTAAAAAATTATTTCAGTTACTGTATATTAGTCATGTCTGGGGATAAAATTCAGCCACAGCCTACTGTTGCTGTGCTCTTCTCAGTTTTTTAGTAAAACTGTGATTCGAATCACAGAAAACATGATATACAGTATTTTTATTTATTATTTCATTATTTGACATTAATTTTTAGTACTTTACACTTTATTCAATTTTAACTATTTATTATTTTTTACTTTATTAATTTATTTTTATTTACCTTTCTGTTAGCCTTCCACGGGCTCTGGATCTTTTAGGTATTAAGCCCTGCTTCATATTGCAGTATTCTACTGCCCAAGTGCTTTTAGTTTACATAAAATGCAGCAACAAAAACATTAAATGAATAAAGAAGAAGAAGCTCTTTGAAACTGTTCACAGAATTAAATATTTTAGTTTTAGAAATTAGGAAAGGTTCTTTGAAGGCATGACATTTTATATTGCTTACAAAAAATTAGCAAACAATATTCTGTTTCAGTTATTAATAATAAAGATGAATTAATTCCCAAAAAACATTAACCTATTTTGTAAGCACAGCAATTAAAAACAAATATTTTCTTAACTTTGTTTTTATTAATTTTGCAGTCTGAAAATCGGAAGAGAAAATTATGTGGTATATCAAGTTTATGAAGAGATGGAAAATAAAAAAAAGTTATGGAATTAAAATGAAATATTAACACTACCTATTTACTTATTTTATTCTGTAACTAATTTTTTGAAACTGTTGCTTGTAAATTTTTCTGTTTCCTATAAAACTTCATCGGTTTTCTTTTTAAACATCAGATTGTTTTATTATGGTTTCAGCAACAATCATACTAATGTATTATAACAACAGCAATTTAAATTCTTTGGCATGATCGTTAGTACCCTCATATGTTAAGAATATTCCAAAGCAATGCAAGATTCTCTCATGTATAAATGAGATTACTGTTTAAACACACACACACCAGAATGAATGAAAAGGTTTTCCATTTAAGGAAAAACCAAATTCATCATACAAAGACCTTTGAAAGAAATGAGTGTCTAAGTCTCCAGGGATGTCAGCCTGACATTTCACCCTGTTCTCTCAGATTTAAAAATGGGAAAAAGACATGACTAGTGTACATCTTCATCTCCTTCAGACTAGAAATATTATAACCATTATAGCTATCCTACTCTGGAAGGGTTAAAAGAATCTCAGAATATAATGATAGGATTTCTCATTTATTCCTATCATTATATTCTGATTTTCATGTTTAGTTTGTATTCATTCATCCCACATGACTAAACAACCAACAATATAGAACCTGGCATTATGACTCTTTTAGCTAAGCTTCAAAGCATAGTTAGATACTTCCAAGCAATAAAGAAGTTTTCAAAACATTCAAGCCATATTACGAAAGTTAGTATAAATGATAAACTTTGAGCAGTGTTGCTTCAATAGATAGCAGATGTTGTAACACACAACTCTCAGTTCAAACATGACAATAAAACAAGCCTGGTACAGTTAAATACATTTCATACTTTAATGACAACAGATGTGCAAACACGACCACAAGCTTTAACACTAAAAAGATGACTGCTCTCATTTTAACATTTTCAAATTCAGTTACGAGTCCTACATCTTATTCATGGGTTTCAGCTGCTGAAGTTTTATGAAATTTCTTTAACTTTACATGACATGCATACACATATTTACAAAACTATATTCAGTTATGAAAAAGGGAGGGATGCTTAAGAGAGTCCCATAAAAATGTTATTGTGTAAATAAGTATTTCTACATCTCTTCTCCCCTGTTTCCAGCAAGTGATTTTTCATTTGCAGACACTGAATGACCTTAAAAACAGCTACATTTCTGATGCCATATTATGAGCAATCATGGAAACATGGCAGCCACAGAGTTTCTGTGACAAGTAAGCATGAACTAGACCATGTATGCCCATGGGCCGCATGTGGCCCATTTGAAGACTTTTTGTGGCCCAATTGAAGTTTCTAAATGTCTATATTATTTTAGACATTTGGACTACAGGGGTTGAATCGAAAAAGTTTTGTTTTGACTCACCCCCCCTTTCCCCATGCAATTTTTTCTGATTTTTTTTTTCCCAGTGTAATAATTACACTGCTGTTCTTCTTTGCTTAATTGTCTTTTTGCATTTGAAATAAAAATTTTGAAAACCTAAATCTCAATCAATTTTATGCAGACATTCTGTAATACAAGTATAAAATGTGAAGATGTTATGTTATTATACTACGTAACATCAGATGGCAGCACAAATCCACTGAAGATAAGAACCTTGTAGGTTAGGAGATATTCTTCCGCCAACAAGTACAATCTGGTCAACTTTCAATTTTGTCGTGATTGTGATCCAGGTAAAAGGTAAACTTACTGTTTTTTTTTATCACATCAATAATTATCGTATTTCTTTCTATTATCAGATACTTATTCGTCATGGCTGAAAGAAAAATTGAAAAGAAAACTTGAAGATGAAAATAGACAGTTTCAAAGTGAATGGGAAAATTTGTACTTTTTTAATTCATGTAAAAGACAATGTTGTATGTTTCATTTGTCGTCATTCAATTTCAACTTTAAAATCAAACAACCTAAAAAGACACTATGAACAAAAACATGGAGAAATTGATAAACTTACTGTTGGCAAATGGAAAGCTAAGTTAAAATCTTTGAAGAACAATTTCACATCTCAACAATACATATTTCATAAGCAAACTGCCCAATCAAATGGTATTGTCAGTGTTAGCTTTCGAGTATCCCACATTATTGCTAAAAATATGAAGCCTTTTACAGATAGTAACTATATGAAAGACCGTCTAATTGCTGCAGTTGAAGAAATCTGTCCAGAAAAACTAAATCTCTTTACTCAAATTAGTCTATCATGTCAAACTGTAGAAAGAAAAATAGAAAATATTTCAAGTGAGATTTGTGCATTGCTAAATACAATTACAAGTTTCGTATATTTCTCACTGGCTTTGGATGAAAAGTCAGATATAAATGATGCTCCTCAACTTGCTATTTTTATTAGAGGTGTTGATAGTCAAATGAATATTACTGATGAACTACTCGAACTTGTGAGTTTGAAAGATACTACCACTGGAAGAGATATTAAGGATACTGTCATAAATTGCACGCAAAGTCATCAGATAGATTTGAAAAATCTTGTTGTAGGCATTGCAACAGATGGAGCCCTTTCAATGGTTGGAAAAAGTGTTGGTGCTGTTACATTAATTTTCAATCACATAAAAGCTTTGGAAAACAGTTCAAATGATTTTGAAATGTTCATTTGTCATTGTTTTTTTTCACCTTGAGAATCTACGTGCACACATATTAAATATGTCTCATGTGATGGAAATTGCTGTTAAGGTAATTAATTAAATTACAAACAATCCATTGAAGTATCGTCAATTTCAAGAATATCTTAGGGAACTGGAATCTGAATACAACGATCTCATTTATTACAACAAAATGCGGTGGTTAAATCGTAGAAACTGCTTATTGCATTTTTGGAAATTAAGGGAAGAAATTGAAACCTTCATGAACAATAATGGTCACAATATAAATGAACTTTCGGATGATCAAGGCTTCTAGAATTTATGTTTTCTAACAGATATAACAAAGAAATTGAATGAGCTAATGCAGAATTTACAAGGTGAAAATAAGTTGATTACCAATTGTTATCAAGATATAAAAGCCTTTGTAGCAAAGCTTCAGGTTTATGAAATTCAATTAAGTTCAAACAATTTGATTCATTTCCCATTGTTAAATGACTATAAAAGTAACTATAAGAACTTCTTCAAATATTCTATGGAAATCGGAAAATTACTTAAAGAATTCAACATACAAAAGTTTGAGGAAATGTTTACAATATTTTTAGCTCCATTTCATGTAGAGGTGGAATCAGCGCTTCCAAATTTACAAATGGAGCTAATAGAATTACAATCAAGCATCAACCTAAAAGGCCTGTGTGAAGGGAATAAGATTGAATATTATCAAAAGTATATCTTTAAGATAAATTTCCAAATTTAAAATGATTGGCTATGTGCATTATATCAGCATTTGAAACTACTTATCACTGCAACTCATTTATTTCCAAATTAAACCTGGTGAAAAACAAAGTACTGCAGCAGGTAGCTCGATGAAAACATGACCAATCAACTATGATGGGCACTAAATAAATTATCTGTTGATATTTAAAAAAATCTCAAGTAAAATACAAAAACAAGTGTCACATAAATTGTAAGGTAACAAAATACTTTGAATGTTGTACGATAATAAAACATTTGGAATAATTTGTTGTTTTATTTTGATATGTGCAGCCCACCACAGTTTAGTAAATTTTTACTTGGCCCACCAACCGATTTGGGTTGAGCACCCCTAAACTAAACTATAGCCCTAGCACCAACTTGATGTTTAAAAAATAAGGGCAGTAATAACAGAGAAGTACCATATTATTTAATGAATAAACAAATCATATTACGTCAATACAATTTGAAGACATCGGCCAATAAAACAAAATATGCTAATGGTTTCTTACTACAAATTAATGCTGATCACGTTTGAAGAAGTTATCATGACTACAAAGGGCACTTTCATAATGGTGCCATACTTTTATGCAAGTTGACTGCTGATCGAAA